GACCCCTGCCAGCGCTGAGATGCTTACACATTCACTGACTCGGCTTTCCTCCTGCAGTCGGCATCATTGCCTCTGTTTTGTGAGATGGAGGAGGACTTTGTGGCTTGCTGTTGGATATAAGGGTTAATGGGTGAATATTGGACTTGTGGGCTTGGGCAGCACTGGGTTGGGATGTTTTCTTGAGGTGCACTTACCTTTCTATAAAACTCTCTCTTATACATGAGTTTCTGCGGATTTGTTTTCTCTAAAGTACCCAGACTAATACAAGCGTTCTAGTCTGGGAAACTCTAGAGCATTCTAGTTTGAGAAACTCACATGGGCACTTCTACCCATCCTAGGGGGTGGCTAAGAATCCATTAGATGGCTGTGAGTTTCGTTTTTGTTTTGAATTATACACAATAAATAAGCCAATGTCTCTTCTTTTAAACAACTTGTAATAGTTTCCTATGGCTGTCCTAGCAGACCCAGAGGCCCAGGAAATGAGAGCCGTCTACTCCTGGGCCCTTCTCTTGGACAGTGGTAGTGGGACACTGCCTGGGTACCTCCCACCACACATCTCACGAGGATCTCTCTCTCTCTCCCCGCAGATGAGCCACTGCTGGAAAAGTTGGTGGCTTTTAGACTGAGGGTGCTTCACGAACTCAAGAGCATTCTGAAAGACTATGAACACAAAGGTGCAGCCCCCACTGCTCCGCAGAGCTCCTCCTGCCGCCCCTCCGTCCCCTTCTCCCATTGTCTCCCCAGCCTCCCTCTTCCACTCTCCCCTCCCACTGACCTCTTCAGCTCTCCAGCCCTCCTGCCCTCCACTCTCCCTCCCCCGGACTCTTCTAAGTAAATTACCAATTTGCTAGTCCAGCCTCACTCACGGAAGCTCTGTTCTCTTACAGCCTGCGACCCTAAGCTTTGCTGTGAGTTCTGCGTTTATTTTCTCTACGCCTTTACGCCCCCTAACCCCTGTCTATCCTCCAGCCCTGCTCTCCTACACCTTCCACTTTGGGGGGCGGGGTGGGGGGAGGGGTTCCCCTACCCCAAAGCCATACTACCCAGGGATATCTGCATTGAGTGGGGTTTGGGAAATGGTTACAACTTGCAAATATGTAGCTGTGGAACCAGATCGATGGATTGCCAGATGGCCGGATTGACTGACAGACTGATTTGGGGAGTGGATAGGGTAGTCTCTGCTTAACATAACAAATAATCCCCCTTCATCTTCACCCCGTCAACGCAACAGGAGATTATTTCTCTGCCGTGCAAACTCCATTCTGAGTTGAGACGTTATTTTCAGCGGTGTGACGCAGGGATCCGAGCTGTCTCCGTTTTGGAGCTTTCCAATGTTGAGTCAGAAGAGAAAAGGCAACGGAGCCTCACATGGGGAGTGGCGTGTCACTGTGCCCGCTTTCTATTGGCTAACGCTCGGTCACATGGCCGCAGCCTGCTGCAGGGGAGCCTGGGAGATGTAGTCTTCGTGCGTGCCCAGGCTGAGGCCCCCCCGTCTGGCCGTCAGCGTTTAAACAGCCTGTGCCACAAGGGGGCGCCATGTGAAAACCACGTGGCGGAGTCCCTGTGGCTTCTGACGTCAGCTGTCACCCAGAGTTAGTCACAGGCTCGGAAACCGCAGGGGCAGTTCTCCCCTGTCTTATAAGGTCGCTAGGAGTCAGGATCCACTTGATGGGACACGCCCCCGATGGAATGGGGGGGGGGGAGGTTGGGGGGAGAGGGAGCCAGGAGGCCCAAGGGACCCTGTTTTCTCTCTCTCCCGGGACCCTCCTGGAAGCCACTCTCACGAGTCTCCTCCCCCATGTGCAGACACGCTGCAAGAGGAGGTCACGGACTGCTTCCTCTGCCAGAAGATCATTCCCAAGTGCATCAATAACAAGTATTGCTTTGGTAAGAGGAGGCCCCGGGCAGGGGGCAGGGGGCAGGAAGGCGGCCACGGGTTTTGAGGGCTCCCGCATATTCCCTTTACACCCACTGACAGCGTGGCCCCCAAATGCCTTCCACTTTCTGAGAGTGCTCCCCGCCCCCTCCCCAGCTCCCTTGTTAAATGGCAAGACATCGCCTGAACTAGGGGTGGCGGGGTGGCAAGGCCAGAAGAGGAGCAAGCTCTGGTGGCAGAGCGGTTATGCATTGGGCTGCGGATCTGCAGGATCAGCAGTTCGAAACGACCAGCCGGTCCGCAGGAGAAAGAGGAGGCTCTCTCCTCCTGCCAAAAGTTACAGTCTTGGTAACCCACGGGGGCAGTTCTACTCTATCCTATAGGGTCACTATGAGTCAGAATCCTATGGCAGTATGTTTGGTTTGGTTTGGGTTTTTTGGTAATGCAGGGGGGGAAAGGGGGGATTCCCACAGAGGGTATTCCTCATAGCCAAGGTCATACTTAGGGAGACTAGAAGAACATGCCGAAAACATTCTCATTCATTCACAGATTTTTTTTAAAACTTTTTTGTTATTGTTGACGTTTGAATATGCCCTTTTAACCGTGGACCCTCAGAGAGCCATCAGGATACAACACGGTTCCCCGAACCTTGCCACATGCTGTTCGCTTTCTGGCTCACACTGTTCCCTGCACTCCCCACCCGACGACATTCCTAGCCTGGCATTCTTGGATCCATCCTGCTTTGGGCACTTGGTTTTCAGACAGCCTTGGATTGGATCTGCTACGAATTGAGGAAGGGTCGTTACTGATCAGCCGGGGACTCTCTCTCTCTCTCCTTCTCCCTCTCCCACACTAGTGAACCGGCAGCCCCGCATGACCCTGCAGTTCCAGGACAGGGAGTACTACCCGCAGGACCAGGCTGCGCTGGGCATCACCATCTCCGTGTTCCTGGCTTTCTTCCTCTTCCTGACCATGTTGTTCTCGTGAGTCGCCACCCCTGCCCTCCCCTCGGTCCCTGGGGTATTCTCACAGTTGAGGGGCCCCTCCAAAAAATAGCAGACGCTGGGCTTGTCACCTTGTCCTTTCTGAGTCTCCTCTCCTCCTCCCTCTCTCCCTGATCTCTCCCTCCCCCCTCTCCTCTGGTTTCTCTCCTTCCCTCCTCCTTTCTTTCTCTCCCTCTCCCTTTCTCCCCCCTCCTCTCTCTCCCCCTCCTCTCTAACATTCTTGTTTTTGTTTTTTTTCCCATTTAAATCATTTTAGTGGGGGCTCCTGCAACTCTTATCATACATGCATCCATTGTGTCAAGCACATTTGTACATTTGTTACCATCATCATTCTCAAAACATGTTCTTTCTACTTGAGTCTTTGGTAGTTTATAAATTATTCTTATTTTTTCATGCCTTACACTGTCTGATGTCTCTCTAACATTCTTTCTCACGCTATTGTCCTGTCTGTTCTCTCGCTAGATAGATAGATATAGATACATATATAGATATAGATATAGATGTTAGTTCTATATATATAGATATAGATATAGATATAGATATAAATATAGATCTCTTGCCCCGCCCTCCTGTCTCTGACTCTGTCTGGAGTCCCTGGGAAGTAGAAAGAGTTAATGTGCCATCCAATAGGGAGTGGAAATGGTTAATGTGCCCTCTGAGGTTGGAGAGGAAATGGCTATTTCACCCTTTGAGTCTGGAGAGGAAATCGCTAACTGCACTCTCTACTGTCTGAGAGTCGGAGGTTCAAGGCCACACAGAGGTACCTCGTATGAAAAGCCTGGCCATCTACCTCCCGAAAAACAGCCCCTGGACACCCCACGGTGTGTGTGGGGGTTGACTGTGGCACAGGAGGGGTCCCCAGGAGTCGGAAGTGACTTGACTTGGTGGCAGCTAACTTGTTTGTACGGATCCCTGGTGGTGCGATGGGTTAAGCGGTGATTGCACCAGTAACAACTAGGTCCAGAGTTCAAACCCATCAATCTCCACAGGAGAAAGGCAATGTGGGAAACTAACACTGATAGAAATAGGACGAGGACTCTTCCCTAACTTAGAGGGAATCTGGAAAGCTGGTCTTCCACGGCAGGAAAGCCTCCACGTTGGTTAGTTCAGGTCCAAGTACATGATCCTGCTTTAAATATCGTTACCACAGACTCTCCCCTAACAGCTACGCTGCCTTAAAGTAGCACATGGTGGATTCTGTCTCCCTGTATAAGCAGACATGCTTTTGTTATCTCTTCCCTCCACGGCACCCAGCCCCTCTCATCCTTTCCCCCATTGCAGGTATTAAGTTTCCTCACCTGTGAGCTCAGGGACTTTACAGTGGTTACCACCCAGCTTGTGACATATATAACTACTGAATATGTATGTCTTATGGCTACCTATAAATATCCCGAGACCGTAAAGACTCTCTCTGCGTGGACCTGGCCACTGAGATGATGGCCGTCCCAGAGGTGAGCCTGTGACCATGCAACGTGTCTGACTCCTCTATTTTACTTCCTCTTGTATCTCTCCTATCTTCCATGACTTTACTATGATCTTTATAGATTATCACCATTCCGTTGCGCCTACGGACTCTGCAGTTGTCAGAGACTGGTTTCCTCCCATCCTTCATCCAGGAAGATATAATGACCCACCACAACATACATATTCCACTCAGGTCCCTATTCCTGCTCCAGTAAGCCCCCTGTGAGTAGGATGTCTTGGTCTACCACCAACCACGCGTGTGTGACGGTTTTCCTTGACCTGCCAGGTCCTCTTGAGAGCGCTGTATCTCAGTAAACCCTTGGGCACTGGTGTGAGCCCGTGCCAATAGTTTCTCTCCTCTGGGTACTATGTCTTGGCCTCCTCATGTGCCCTGTTTGTTCAAAGTAAATGCACGGTCATGGGGTCCACGCTGACTCACCGAGACCTTTTAGGACAGGATGCAACTGCCCCTGTGGGTTTCTAAGATTGTCCGTCATCTTTGTTTATTTATTTATTTATCCATCTTTTTTTTTTTTTTTGGATGGGAGAAACATCATCTTTATTCGAACTTGTATATAAGACTGAGAAATACAACATATCTGAATTCCTGGGGCCTGGCAACAGCAGTCCTCAGCAGTTTGCAGGAGTAAGTGCCCCCTTCAACTAAACAGGGGAACACAGCAACTAGAACCACGGGAGCAAGACCAGCAGAGCCAGCCCCCGACTTCAGAAGAACAGGAATCATGATATTCCTATGGTTTAAATCAGAGCAGAAATACATGAATTGGAAGAAGAAAAAAA